TAATTTTCACAGTGATTGTGTAAGTCTACAAGGCTGTCCACAGTGGAGAAGCATTTCTTTATCCCCACAGAATTTTTTATTATTTGATTTCTTAAAAATAGCTGTTTTTTTCAGGGGATGATATAGAATATCAGCATTGTTTTAATTCACTTTTCTCCAATGACCAATGATAATAAATTTTTTTTCATACGTTTATTTTCTGTTTTTTAGTCTTCTGAAGTGTTTGTTCCTGATGCCCATTTTTGGATTGGGCCTTTGAATTTTGGGGTCCAATGATTTTGAGTTCTTGAGGAAGAGCTCCCATTTTTTTTCAAACTGTGGGTCATATCTTCACTCTGTGGATTCTCTTACTTTGCAAAAAAAGCTTTTTAATAAGATAAAATCTCAGTTCATTCTTTGTGATATTTCCTGTGCAATTGGGGTTTTGTCCATAAAGTTTTTGCTTACACCAATGTCTTCAAAAATTTTCCTATTTTATCTTCTAGCAGATTTAATGTTTCTGTTTTAATATTTTGAACTTTCATTTTAGTATAGTATGTGGTGAAAGATATGAATATAGTTTTAATCTTCAGCATGAGGAAAGTCAGTTTTTCTGCACCATTTATTAAAGAGACTATCTTTCTTCTAGTAAAGTTGTTTGGCATATTTGTTAAAAATAAAGTGTATAATTATGTCTGGATTAGTGTTTCCACCTTATATTCTTTTACTATTTTTTATATTTATTTTTTATTATTTAGTGCAGGGTCTACAGGGTCTCACAATGCAGCTCAGACTCCTAGTGAGTCTCCTGTTTTCAGCATCTCAAGTACTGGGCTAATAGGTGCGAGACACCACACCAGTCTCAATTGCCCTCTCAGCCTGTCCCTGGGGTGGGGCCAGCACTGCATGCCAGAGATCAAACCACTGTTCCCTGAGCCTGCTGAAGCAGGTGCTTTAATCTGCTGAGCTATCTGAACAGCACTCCACTTTATAATCTATTCCATTGATCATCGGATCTACTTTTATTTTTGCTGCTTTTATCACAGTAGCTTTGTGATATAATTTAATTTGAGGAATTGTGAGTCTCTTTGCCTTTGTTGTCTATAATTGTCTTTGCTATTCGACGCCGTTTCTCATTCCAAATGAATTTTAGGATCACTTTCTGTAGAAGACAGGCTGTTGGAATTTTGATCAAGGCTGCAGTAAATTTACACAACAAATTCATAAATAAAGTCATTTTCAATGTATTGCTTCTCTCTACTTAACAGATAGGGATGTTTTTCCTATTTTTATATCCTTTTCAATGTCCTTTTTCAGAGTACCATAGTTTTCCTTTTTTAATGAATTGATTTTTTCCATAATTTTACAGAGAAACAAATAGCAATGAGGTAGTTTCAAATCAAATTGGTAGGACAGTTTCAATAATGAACACATTGCATATTCTCTTCCTAGTGGTTATTTGCGGTACAAGATGCAGATATGATATCCTATTTACAAACACTATTAGAACAAATCCCTCTATTCATTAAAAGAATGTAACTATATATCTATCCTAACAATTTTGAATACACAGATACAAAATGGACATTCATTTGTATACCATTTTTCATTTAGTTCCGTCATTTGAATGCTATAGGTGATTTAACTCAGCAAGATATTCTAAAAGAGTCCAGTAGTCCATAATATTACTGGGTCTTCCGCTTGACAGGCAATGTCAGAAGTTATTGACCTTTGTCCCCTACAGCTGAACATAACGCCATGGCTTTATTTTTTAAACTTTGTTTTTATACTCTTCTGCTGGATGGTTCAGACCAACATAAAGCAAGAACTATGCAACAAGAGTTGTAGCTTTTGGATCTGATAAGGTCAGTCAAATCCCCTCAGGATTTATCCTGACATTCTGTACCTGAGATTGTAGATCCTTTGTCACCGTTGCCCTGTGGATGAGTCATGGCCATTGCTTGGCCAATGTGCTCTCTGTGAAAACCTGAGAGAATGTTTTAACTCCATGTGACTCTCCTTAGGCACACTACATCATCAATCACTTTCTTCTTTGGCCCCATAATCTCCTTGATCTGAAAATTTGGAACACTACTGAGTTACATGACATTACAATAAAAGTTCTCATATGTCCTGAGTCTTAATTGACCTTGGAAGGCTAGGACCAAGATGTTGGCTTTCCTTGTGGCCCTCCTTTTGCTCTAATTTTGGTCTGCAAAATTAGATTATTAACCCTCCAGAAGAGAAACTTATTGCTATTACCATACAACCTAGGCTGTTAGCCTTAACCTCACTCTCTGTCTGAATATCAAACATCATAAGCGTAGCGTGGAACAGGTCTTTTTCATCAAGTATTGATATGTAGAACTTTAAGTCCCTACAGAATATGATGAAAAAACATTAAAAAATTAAAATATATTTTGAAAAGAGGCATAAAATTATATAATTCTTATGTTTACACATAAGTTCAGAAATATAACCATATAAAACCTTGCAGAGGACAGTCCTCCACCATTCCTTTTCCTGTCTTCTGCCTTCATTTACCACCCCCTTCTTTTTGAACAATCATCTACCCAAAAGACAGCATGGAAGCAAGTGGCATATGATGACAAAAAACCCATATTCAGAAGACCAGAATGACAGGCACTCCAAGAAAATATCTACTATTACAAATTGCCATCTTCAGTGCAGTTACTTAGTTCACAGGTGTCAGTATATATAGTTAGTCAGGGTGAGAATCCAACCAATTAATTGCTAGATTCAAAAATATTCTGAAGATTCTCAGGACTATTACCTTACCCATCTTGTACATATAACTGTATGGCTTGTCACTGTCATGTTTCCTAGCTCTTCACCTTTCCCTCTCTTAATTATTCAGTCCTCAAGTTATTGATTTCCTTTCAGTTGTATTATACCTTTCTGTTTGTATTTCTTCTTTTGAGTTCTTATACTAGGGAAACTATGATATTTACACATGTGTGGCTGGTTTATTTCACTTATGAGTATATCTTCAAGTGGCATCCACATCAATATAAAGGCTTCGAGTTTATCATTTTTTATAGCTGAGTAATACTCCACTGTATAAAAATACCACATCTTTTTCATCCATTTCTCAGGTGATAGACATCTTGGTTGTTTCCAAGATTTGGCTATCACAAATTGTGCTGCTATAAACATAGGCACACATATATCCCTATGATATGATGTTTTCAGATCCGTTGGGAAAATTCCCAGTAGAGGAATAGCTGATTTAAATGGGATCTCCAGTCCAAGTTTTCTAAGGAGTCTCCACAGTGATTGCCATAACAGGTGCATCAGTGTACATTCTCACCAGCAGTGGAGAAGGGTTCCTTTTTCCCCACATCATCTCCAACATTTGTTGTTGGGTGATTTCTTTATGATAGCCATTTTTTCTGGGATGAGATGATATCTCAATGTTGTTTTATTTTGCATTTCACAAATGACTAGTAATGTGGATCATTTTTTTCATATATTTATTCTCTCCTCTAATTTCTTTCTCTGAGAAGTGTGTGTTCATCTCAGATGCCCATTTCTGGACTGGGTCTTTAAATTTGGGGTCCCTAGTGATTTTTAGTTCTTTATAAATACTAGAAAGTAGACCTTTGTATGAGTACTTATTTGTCATGATTTTTTCCAACTTGTGAGTTGTCTTTTCACTTTGTTGGTAATTTCTTTTGA